AAGCTAGATTGAACTTAAACGAAATTGAAAAAAAACAACAACATTGAGAGATTAAAATAATAATAAAAATAATGAGCTATCATAGATTTCAATTAAGTCTTCGCCCCTGAAGTAGGTCACTGTGGCAACTTATTGATTGGTTAAGTAATAAGAAAATTAATCAATAACCTAATGAAAAAGTTTGACACACGATTCATTTTTGTTGAATACAACATACGATCTTCATTATACTGCGCTCTCTGATTGTATTTGATCTAACGAATGCAATAAACAAATATTCATTTCAATTTTATAGAATTTTCATCATACTTCTATACATTATAATATCCTTTATTTAGTAGAAAGTCATGAAGATTAAACCTAATTCAATCATTTTTTATTTTTTTTAACCATTAGGATTATAAAAATTAATAAAATACATAAGTGATTATGTATGAAATATAAAAATAATATATATAATTTATATGTTTAATTAAATAAATATAATTAAATAAGTAATTAATATAATTTAATTAAATCAATAATATAAATAATATATATAATATAATATTTATAATTATTATATAAGATAATAAATAGAAAGATTATTTATATATAGGTTAATATAATAAATAGTACTCAATAATAAACAATTATAATACATAGATATCAAAATAGTAGATATCAAACATATCAATATATAAGAATAAACATAATAATTATAATTATATTTATTATATTTTAATAAATTACTATATTATTTTAATTTATTTATTACATTATTATATTTTGTTTATTCTTTGAAACTTATGTTATTGTATATGAAATTCATTAAATATTGAGTAGTTTCTTGCTCTTCTGTTCATGCTCATCACTTCACGCAAGACCTGCTCTAATTGATCCATTTAAGAAGTCTGTGCCTGAATCAAGTGATTCATCCACTCCAATTGTCGGGAGGTGGCGGTGTGAATCATTTGAACCAAATGCAGATTGGTGATTGAAACTTATGCGAACGACTGAGGCATGATAACGATGACCTGAACGGATTTGGAAGGTCGAGGGGAGGAAGAAGGAGAGGCAATAGAGGAGAGAATTCGAGGTGCATGATCCTGCGGTGATCCACCTGGGTTTTCGGGATCGTGGCGGTGGTAGAACCGACCAAGCGACTGTAGCCAAGATCACCTTTTGCAGCTATATCTTCTATTGTATCAACTACGTCGTTTTCACTATGATCTATGTATTTTCGTGTATCTTGGGAGTCAAGCTCGAGTGCCTGTGCCATAATCTCAGGCAGCTGGGTCGTTTTGGGAGGGACCTTCTTGTTCAACTTCGGTTTGAGGGACGAATTATGAAGATGATCTATGAACTAATCTCGGGCAACACTTTCCTCCCTTCCAGACTTATGCAAAGTTGTCTGAAATCTATCTACAAAGTTAGGGTACAATTCCCCTGGCTCCTGAGGACGCTTATTCAACACAAACCATGCGGCAACTTCGCTTATCTCATCGAACCTTGCCAAAAAGGTGCTTTTGAATGTTGCCCAATCTACCCATTGATGGCGCTTGAACCAATAATGACCGGAATCCCTTACGGGCAGCCTGATGACCCGAGGGAGATCAACCGCATCATAGCCCTGGACTTCTACAGCTTTGAGCCATGCCCCGAGATGAGTGTGATTAGGATAGACTGAAAAGGTGGTTGGAACGCTTACCGTTACTCGGTGAGCAGGAACATTAGCATTGGCTATGGTTGTTGCCGCTCTTGCTTCTGCTGATCTATTTCGAGTAACCAGGGGACTCCTCTGATTCGAACGAGCTGAGACTCCTCCAGTTGGAGAGAGAGAGAGAGAGAGAGAGAGAGAGAGAGAGAGAGAGAGAGAGAGAGAGAGAGAGAGAGAGAGAGAGAGAGAGAGAGAGAGAGAG